TGTCAGGCACCTCAGTAATAGGAAATAATTACATATATTGCTGTTGTGTAGGAGTGTTGGAGATGTCTCCAAAGAGATGGCAAATCTTCAGAGCCTTGGGCTAATGCTGTGAGGTGGCAGCGAGTATGTACGCTGGCTCTTGCAGTGTTAGGGTCAATTTGTGCACTTTCCGTCCCCTCTTGCTGCAGGGAAGAGTGACGCAGCTGTTGTTGTGCTTCCTTGGTTTCTTACTCTGTAGGCGGGAGGGAGAAATGACTGGTGTCTAGCAGCTCCTGGGAGTGAGAAAAGCAAGCTACACAGAGAGGGTTGTGGGGAGACATGTCTGAACAACCTTTGCCCAAACGAGCTTGGTGCAGCGGGTGGAGCACACTGTGTACAATGCTTGGGTGTTGTAAGACCAGTAAATAACCCCTGACTGCTGTGCTTTGCAGCCCTGGATAAATGCCCCTTTCTGTCCATCTTGACTCAATTTCTGCACAGAAGTGCACCAACCACTGTCTGGAAACCATTCTTCTAAAATAAATTGAAATCTAGTCCAAGAGTAGGGAGAACATTGACGGAGTGCAGAAGCAGTTGTTCCTTTTAAGAGCCCAGTGTCCATGTTTTTTACACTCAACTTCTGCTCATAAGAGGAAAGCACCTGTAATGTGAGTGGGGCAATGGGGACAGGAGGCTGTGCCTGACTGTCTCTTTGGTGGGTGTTAATACTGTGGACGGCTGTGCAAGCCTATTTGGGTCTGGGATATCTCCAAAACAAAGCACTATGAGTAGTACAAAACAGCCCCTGCCTTTTCCTAGCCGAGGATCGAGACCCTTGACCCTAGACAGAGGGGCGCTGCTCCTCTTGCAGTTCCCTGCTGTCTGAAATCCATCCCGCTTAGTACATACAAATCCCCCTCTTGGAGGGGATTCTCGACTGTTCCTGGCCTGGCAGAAACAGCTGTGGACGTGTCTTTGCTCATACGTATGGTGGTAGCTCGCTCTCGATGAATACAGCCCGTGTCAGGAGCAGAATTACATTCTTGCGCTTGGTGACCACCTCTCCTCAGTCGTTCTGACCCTTCTACCTTCATTTTGTGCAGTGCCTGTTTCACAGTGCTGGTCACCGTGTCTAGTGCTGCCTATCGAGGGCCACTGTTTTGCAGCTTGACCTTTCTCTGGAGATTTAGCCCTGCTCCTGGGGAGTTAAACCGTCAATTGCATTGAGCAATGGAAAGTATGTTCATTAACAATGTTCTATTTAAAATACAAAGTGAATGTAATGATGGCAAGAGGTGTCGGATGACAGGGACTAAGAATTACTTTTTCCATTCAGAGCCTGAGCAGATGCAGAGCAGCCTTCCCCAGCTGCCGGAGTCTTTCTGCCGGTAAAGGAGAGGCTCGATCATGGTGCATTATGTGCCGTATGGGAGTGCAGTGATACTTCTTGTGCAGAGTATTTCTTTCCTTAGGTGAACCAAAAATATAAGAGGAAGCAGCCTTTTTTGATGAGCATTCCCCAGGATCAAATCTCTGAGTGATGCTTGTGTTACTAGTGTGGAAGCAGTAGGTTGAAACAAGTTCAACCTTTAAACAGTTTTGAGGCAAAGTAGGACATTTCACTGCTCTCCTACAGAACAGGCACCAGAGCTGTTTAGGCATTTCCAAACTGCTTTTGGGTTGGGTATCTTTTGGTTGGGATTTATTGATGAAATTCAAGCTGACTGTAAGAAAGGGTTTGGTGTGTTTCTCAATTAGAAAAAAAAAAAAAAAAAAAATCATCAAATTTCCAAAACACCTGGTTTCTACACTTTGAAAATAAATAACAAAAACCAATTGGTTTATGTTGAAGCTGTCACTAGCTGAGAGAGACTAGTATATAAGGAGTTTACCATTCTTTATAACTTACTGAATTATTTAAGATCACCCTAGAATGTTTTTGTCTTATAAGAACATTAACAATTTTTCAGATATTTGTCTCTGTCTAAATTTGCGGTGGGGATTTTTTAAAATTAATAAAACCTTTGGGCGGAATAAAAAAACGTTCCCTGGGTGACTCTCTGAAATACTTTGAGACTCAGTCTCATTTTAATGGGAAAGGAGTATTCTCTGTGTTTTCATCTGTTTTGCCTGTAAAAATTATTTCTGCTTTAATTTTTGAGGAGTGAGAGTAGTGTCAGTAACGTTACTTTGATTCTTTCCAATTAGAATTCATAGAAATACTGTCAGACTGGTTATGTCTCATAAACTGGTTTTGTTCAAACAAAAAGATGAATGTGAGTTTTTAAAAATGGGTGGCTTAAAAATCCGTCTGTTTCTACAGTGATGAGAAGTCATCCCATTTAGTTAGCCACCTGGGCTTGGGCCTCAAATATTTTAGAAATAAATAAAATTTGCAGTCTCAGAAAGGAAAATATGATGGAAGTTTTAGCCTTTCCTTTAGGGCTGCGTCCAACCTTGGACTAGGCTGGTTCTGTAACAACATGTCGATGCAGTGTGACAGGGCAGTGTAAAAAGGAGGCTGACAGCATATATGGTGAAATGTTGTTTTGGTCTTTGTTTGTTTGCTTTCCCAGCAACTGAGATCCACGGTTTCTTGGAAGGAGGAACTGCAAGGAGCACGTGTGTATAGGCAGTATGCTGAGGAACAGTAGGGTGTCCAGCAGTCCCTTGAGAAACACCCTACAGGCTGACTCCCTATAAATAACTTGCTTTAATGTATCCCGTGCTTTTTTGATTGCCTTTTTAGGATGAGGTTAAGTAACAACTTCCTTCTTTTTTTCTTTCTTCCTTCTATCAAGGGTTTTTCCCATTGTGCATGTAGTAACCACAATCCCCTGTAAACTAGCTGCTGGCATAAGTCTCTGGGCGGGGTGTAATCCAGAGATTCGTTTGGCCCTGTCTACCAGCATGGTGAGGGTTTAAATGGGAGATTTTTTTGGGAAGCCTCAGAAAAGCAGCAGCTGTCGTTCCAATGGCTGCAGTTTATTCTGGTGCCAGCCGCCCCCGCTGCACCCTGCTGCACCTGTTGGTACTTGAATTATGGTCCTTTCGTGCATAGTAATTCAATAAGGCAAAGTCAGATTTTAATAGAACAAGCCAATGCTCAGATGGCGATGAAGGCAGTGTCAGGAACACTTAAGGAAAAGAGAGAGGAGTTATATTTAAGGGCAGGGCTGTGCAGGTAACAATGCTTCCCTGAGCAAAGGCTATTCCTCCTCTCACTGCAGAAGAGGTAATTGGACTCCTCTTACCATGGCCCAGGGAATGATGTCCCCAGGGCCGGTTCCCAGATACAGAGCCTTTCGGGGTGGCTGATATTTCTAACTGCTTTTTCTAGTTCTCCATAAAACTGTAAATACAGATGGTAGCTGGGATCCCTTCCTAATAGTGCTGTGGATCTGCTGTTGAAATATTACGGATGAGATTTTACTGGGAAGAGTGGCTCTGCGTGGCCCTCTGCAGCAGGGTCACCCTGACTGGTTTGGGATCTTGCCTGATGCGAGCTGTTGGGAGCTAGCTTGCCTTGGGAGCTGTTCTGATACCAACTACCAGGTCTCATTCTCCCCAAAATGTTGAAGTGCTGATGTAGGTGGTAGTTCCCTAATTACTCCTCCTCCCAGTGCCCAAAGAAAATACTTTTCATTCAGATTAAGTAAAGTGATCTCCTGGAGGTGTGTCTTTTTTTTTTCTTTTTTTTTTCTTCCATAAAACTTTATTTCGTGAAATACAATATACAGAGAAAATAAATTAAGTGCTGAGTACTGCTTCGGGTGGATTTGAGCAGCTTTAGAGAAAAAAAGACTTTATAGCCACGAAGTGACCATGGGGATTTATTGATACTTTATTTTTCCAAGAGATTACATTGTTTCAATGCAAACAACATGGAAAGAGATGCTTGGGATGGATTGATCCTGGATGGTAGCAGTTTATTCCATCTTGGTGAAAGTTCTTTTTTTTTTTTTTTTTTTTTAAATGAAAGTGTAGTGACCCAGAGTTGATAACCTATGGATGCACTGGTAAAAAGTGGTGGGGTTGGAGTCACTTCATCCAGTTCTATGCAGTTTCCATGTTGATGGTGATGACAGAGTGAGAAGAATTTCAGGCAAACCTTGAGTGCCATCTGGTCTTTCTGAATTTGACGTGTTTCTGAATTTCCTAGGAAGGAATGGGAAAGTTGGACTTGAAGTCAATGTTGACTAAAGAAACACTTGCAAAATGACAAGCTAAGCCCTTGATGTCTATTTTGAGGTGTTTGTTATTTCATATAGGAGTTGAGAATGTATCTTTCCTGGGATAGAATAATTAACAGTTCAAATAAGCTCACAGACCCACAATATTTTATGTTTGCATTTTAAAGACAGCTGCTGGGGTTTTTTTTAGGCAAAAGAACAGCATATCAAGGCTGTGGGGTTTTCTTGTTGGTTTTTCCCTACTTGTTGAAGAATTGCTAAACGACTGGGTACTTTTAAAGCTCACTTTTGACTATTGATCATGACTGTTAGAATATTCTTTTTCAGATGATCATTTTGTTTGAAGAGCTGTTCTCAGTAGTTCACACAAGTATTCAGGCTACTCTGTCTTTATAGAAATCTGCAAGTTATCAGAAGGTGTTGCTTTGATTTCCTTTTTTTCTTCAAAAAACAAATTCTCAATGTGCTTATAGGATAAATGTCTCAGGCTGCTTTTTTGCCTACCTTAAACTCTGATTTTTGTATGACAACAGAAATCTAGGATGATATTTAAGCCTGAGCATTTCCATGCTCATGAATAAACTGAGCATTTCTTTTCACAGGTTGGGTATGTTTCAGTTTCCAACCAGTTACAGAGCTGTGAAAAAGACCCAGGAATCCGCACTCCTGTTTTCTTTGCTCTTGGACAAGAGTCTCATTTTGTTCTATTCACACCATTGGGGAGACAGTGGCACGTTGGTTTCATAACCTATATCTATCCATGGACATGTAGAAGGCTTTAAGTGTACCAAACAAACAAGGTTAAGTGTGCAAATGGGAAGAACGTACCGTTTGGTATCTGGGGAGTCCACTTAGACGGACAAGATGTGCTTTACAAATGCTGTGGAAAAATACAGATACGCTAGTTAGAGCAGCAAATGTTACTTTGGGAAATACCTTTTAAAATATCAGGTTTTCATGAGCTGATGGCATTAAAAATACATGTTCCTGGTCAGATTTGACCCAGTGATGTAACAGAAAGTTCTAAGTGTTTGATGTTGTACAAATCAAATTCTCTTCCTGCCTAAGTGTGGTAAGACTAAAAATACACAATGAATAGAGCACTTTGCCTAAGCATCAGCTATAGGATCAGTTCCAATCACTGCAACTGATCCACTGAAAGTCAGAGAGTCTAGAGATCTGGCATTGACCTAAAGCAGCCTTCCCTGCTGTGGCTGAATCTAGTCTTTTGAGTGGTGTGACTGCAGGCTAAGCATATTGCAACAGTCGTTTTCATGCATAAGCCTTTCACCCTAACTCAGCTGCAGCTTTGTCTAACCGATTAACCTGAGAAGCTAAAAGCCAATTACAATGCAACTCGGAAGAAATGTAGGATGAGAGGGCTGAACTCTTGCACCTACCCTCATAGTTGATGCAGCCGTTGGAGTCTTCCTGACCTTTCATGAGTTCGTCTACTTCCTCTTCTGTCATCCTCTCACCTGGAGAGTAGAGAGAGCTCAGTTAATTCTTCCACAGACACACAACTGAGGCTGAACCCTACAGCTTCTCCAAAGGATTTCCTTATTTTTCTGAGTTAGTAACAAAAAGACCTGTATATGAATGGACCTTTATTAATTTTAACCTTCTTTAGAAGTTCTGCATGTGCATATAGACACAGGGATTCTAGTTATTCCTGCAGAGTAAAGCAACTACGCAGCAAATCTTCTACCTTTGTCCATGTGCTTTACATCACTGAGGTGTACAGCCTTTTTTCTCTGTTCAAATAACAGGCACTTTCAATACCTAGTCCGAATTTAGAAGTGATAAACCTTTTCCTTTGGGCTTTCTACTGAGTTTTGTGTTTGCTTTCCTTGTGGATTCCCAGCTAGGAAACCCAGAGTCTTGTCTGGCTTTGTAGCCTCCTACCTCTCCAAACTGGTTAGAATATCTTTTCTCCCTTTCTCATGCCTTCAAATGTCAGCAATTCTGAAAGTGCTCACAGAGATGATAATCCCTTACCCAGAGTAGCCAGTACGTGACGGAGTTCAGCCCCCATGACTGTGCCGTTGCCTTCCTTGTCAAAGACGCGCAGACCTTCAACGAAGTCTTCATAGGTACCCTGATCCTTGTTGTTAGCAGCTGCTTGCAACATGGGCAGGAACTCTTCAAAAGTAATTTTCTTGGCATTCATCTCTGGAAAGAAAGCATCAGTTGCTACATGCTAGATACGTCTACGTGTGTTCTTTGGGGATATTTGCCCTGAAATATTGGAGAGCCTTCCACCTCATTTGCACACCTCTTTCTAGCCTTTACTCCGGTCTTTGCCTGGGGATTTGGCAGTTCCTTTGCAGAATCTAGATTCTCTTTCATCCTGGGAGTTAGTTTTCACATCCATCTGTTTTTTCACATCCTTGCTCCAGCCCTCTTCTCACATAATTTTATATGCTTATGTGCATGTTGTATTTTTCTTTCAGAAATGAAACTTGCTGTATGAGTTGATCTTTGAAAGGATTTTGGGAGTGGGGGGCACTACAGAATGCAGTAAAACAGAAACCTTGAACCCCAATAGTGGGAAAAGGTAACTGGAGTGGGATATTGCAACTTAGACAAACCCCTGAGGTTGCTGACATGTTACTGACTTTTCAGGGTCTCAGCAGAGACTAATAGGAAAAGAATAAACTAATTAAAAATAGGAATGTC